GGAATAAAAAAAAAAAAAAAAAAAAAAAGATACACACTAAACATAATAGATTGGTTATTTATGGGGGTGTGAATGAGCATCGGGTACATAGATAAAAGGGGATAAACAAGTTAATTAACAGAAGAAAGTGTCTTGCACAGACCAATGACAACAATGCACAATGAATTGAGAAGTATGATTCACTCCACCTTTTGCACCTGAGATTCAATTAATAAGCGACAGATGGAAATGAACAAACCTCCCTCTTCATAGAGTTACTATAAGGACAAAGTGAGATACTGCAGGTAAAGAGTTTAGCCCAATGCCTGATGAAAGCACATGCTAAATAAGTGGCAACTATAGTGATAAGTATCGTCTTGTTTGTGGATTATTCAGGCATACTGACTCTTATAGTAGCCTTTGAACCATCCTGTAGCTTCACAGTTTTGAAGAAAGAGATCAGGTGAAAGATGGGATTTAAAATATAGTCTCTTATGCCTTCCTCAAGTTTTAGAGTGAAGAGCAATCAACACCAGCTGGCTCCTTTTATTTATGCTATCATTTTTCCCAGTTAGCACATAAAAATTAAGAGTTGACTATAATGAGAACAATTTCAGTTTTGAAAGCAGGAAGCCAGCCTCCAGTCCCAGCATGCTTGGTTTAGTACTGCTGTGGTACACCGAGTAGACACTAATCATCTGAGGGTGTTTATTTATGAGCTCCCTCAAGGCTCTTGGGTTTCAGAAACTCGCATTTCATTATTCAGCTTTCAGAAAACCCCAGGAAATAGACATAAGGTCAAATATCAAAATCTTTATAGGGAAAAACCACAGGAAGAAGAAATCGAGTAAGTTGTTCAATATTGCAAAGCAAATAATTGGTAGTACCATGGCTGAAATCTCATGTTCTTATCATATCCTTATGGACAGTCCAGGCTCACCTTAAAGGTCTGTTCTGTGGAACAGTCACTGTCATGACCAACCAACCTACACCTCAGGGGTTTTCTGTTCACCAAGCACAATGCTCCAGTGCTATTTACTGAGGGTCAGGCAACAGATTCACTCCTGCAGTCCTTGCCACACTGTGAAGCTGAGAGAGACTAACTTACTTAAGGTCATTTAGCCAATAAGTGGAAATGGACAACAGGAATTGAATCAAAGTCTCACTAACCCCATAGCCCAAGCTCTTAACCTGCATAAAGCTATTGGCCTTTTTCTGTGTCTCAGTTTCTTCATCTGCACAATGATGGAGTGAAATAAATGACCTCTAGTCTCTCCTATTTACTATTAGCAACATCAATAATAAATAATCATGCTTATTATTTCTACAATTGATTTTGAACAAAATAGCTGCCATATGTTAAGGGTCTACTACAAAACATTAGTCTCAAGTATTATCATCTCCATATTACACATAAGGAAACTTCAGGTTTAGAGAGGCAAGGATCTTGCTCAAGTCATTTACCTAGTATGGACTAGATCTTCTAAGTCCAAACCCTGGGCTCTCTCCACAATATATATAGCCAGTTACTTCCCCTAATCTACTTGCACCTTTCCTTCCTTTGAATAATAGCCACCTTTTATTGAGTGCCTACTATCTGCCTGGCACTAAGCCAGACACATTACATATACTACTATTTCTACTCCTCCCCCACAAGGGGAAAGACGCCATCTAAGTCTCCTCTCCCATCTCTGCCTTGCTGAGACCACAGCCTGCTCCTCAGGGGAGGAGTTACTATTTTGTTTGGTAAGCACACAGTACATTCACAGGCTATTTTTTACTAGCGGGTGTGAGTACTGGGCCTTGGAAGGTAGATAGCCATGCTCAGTTCCCTGACTCTTGCACTTCCTCTTCTACTCCAAAGTCAGTAAGCTGAGCCAGCCCTGGGCCCACTTGGGAATCCACCATCTCTGTTTAGGCTTGCATTCCTGTACCTGAGCCCCTACACCTGAGCATGAATGCCACTTACTAAGCTATCACCTCTCACTCCATGCTTCTCTACTCTAGTCGGCTTGCTGGTGCTGAAGGCTAGGACTCTGCAGGCCACATTTCCACTTTGCCAATTGTTCCATGTTGGCTCTCTCAATAGGGGCTTTTGAGGCTGGAGGAGGGACAGGGGACACACTCCTTCCTGTTCTAGTATAGCCTAACAAGTGCTCTTCGCCACCACCGCAGATTCTCCCTGTTGCAGCCATTGGATCCAGTCTGCAGTTTTCCCAGCACTTGCAAAGCCAGCTTCAGGGCAGCCCCTCAGAGACACTGGCACCATCTGAGCACTCCCCCTTCCCCTTCTCAAAGGTCTGAGTTTCAGTTCTGCAGGACCCCTTCTCCAAGTTTCTAAAGTTTAACAATTCCAATCTTTTCCGTTTTTTCTCTCAGCCCTAGAGGTGGTAACTTTCCTGTAGTAACTTTCCATATACCTTAGAGTTCTTTTTCAGGGACCCTTTCAGTTACCTAGTAACAACTTGATTCCTAGTTGACAGTTCAATTCTCTATTCAAATCACTCTTGGCTTCCGCCTCCTTGACTAAACCCTGCCTGATGAGCTAGTCCCATGGGGGTGGGAAAAGGAGGCCCAGCTTAGGCCTCCAGCCTTTAGCTCCCTGGGTGCTCCAACTCAGGCCCTTACTAGAGTTCTACATTGCGATTTTGAGTACTTGGGCAGCAAGTGATAAAACAGACTTTGATCCTGAGCTTGAATGCCACTTACTAAGCTACTGTTGCTCCTTGGCCATAGAATTCTCACAGCACCCTCTCCAGGAGAGGGAAGGAGACTGGCAAAGCGGAAATGGGCATAGAAACATCAGACTTCTAAAACTTCACCACCACAGGGCACTCTAGCCAACTCAGGACCCTCCTCTGGATCAGAAACCTCCAAAATGCCAAAGGGCAGAGCCCAGATACAGACCCTACTCCAGAGGGGCCACTGCCTCAATAACTCCCAACTCTGCGCATAGAGGAAAAGATCTGTGCTGTCTAGTTCAGAACTCGTTAGACAGCTTAGATCTGCTTTGTCCAGTTCCGAACTTGTTAGACAGCTTAGATATGCTTCTGGTCCTGCTGCTTCATGGTATAACAGGGCTTGTCTTCCCTGTCACATTAACTCCATGCAGAAAAAGCCAAAAGTAAAAGCTATTGCCTTATGTGTCGCAATGGTCTTCTATTTTTGTTTCTAGAAGGAAGCAACAGCATAGGTTTAATAAGTTACTTGGCCAATTTTCTATGTCCAGAACAGGTGGTTTCCCTATTGCCAAGCTGGCTTTTTTTGTTGTTATTTTTTAAAGGATTATTTCCATTGGTGGTGATCATTGTCATGGTATTTTGCAATAAACTAGATATCCATGTAGGGGGGGTCAATGAGCAAAACAAATGACAAATTCAGAGCATTTGCTTTGTGGTGACAGACACTGTCCTTGGTGCTTTATATGGATGATTTGA